ATGCGGGACTCGATCCCGGGACTCCAGGATCATGACCTGAGCCGAAGGCAGTCGCTTAACCAACTGAGCCACCCAGGCGCCCCTAGGAAATATTATTCTTAAACCCGCTATGCAAAGCAGGGACACTAAGTGTCCTCAGTAGTCTCTAGTTGAAGGTGGCTTGGAGACAGACTCTGACCTTCTGTCTACTTAGGGGACATTTGGTCAGCTGACCAGAAGGAAGGCCAGGGGGCTTTATTTGAAGTTGCTCTTGTATAACAAATCTACTGGTTTTCCTTAGATTAATGGGGTGGCTTCTTCTGGATGTGTGATTCCGAGGAGATTGTGGTGGAGTTCAAGGCCGCTTTGCCCCAAGCCTCTCCTTAGTGCTGCCACTTGGTGCTGCCAGCATCCCAAACTCTACCTTCGAGACTCCTTGGAGGAGTCTGAAGATCACCCCTCCCTGGCAGGTTCTTATCAGTAAGATCAGCACCTTCAAGAACTAAGCACATCCTAATATTAAGGCAGGAATGCTTTTGTTTTCATTACTTGCTTTGGTGTTTTAACAGTTCCTATTCTGACTGCATTAACGTTAATGGGCACGCTTTTAGGGATTTGTGGTCCTCAGGGATTCATTGCACAATGAAAAATAGAAACACTTCCCTCCCCTCCAAGAAAAGAAGAGAGAGGGGCGCCTGGGTGGCTCAGTCGTTAAGCATCTGCCTTCGGCTCAGGTCATGATCCCAGGGTCCTGGGATCGAGCCCCACATCAGGCTCGCGCTCAGCAGGAAGCCTGCTTCTCCCTCTCCCACTCCCCCTGCTTGTGTTCCCTCTCTCACTGTATCTCTATCAGTCAAATAAATAAATAAAATCTTTAAAAAAAAAAAAAGAAAAGAAGAGAGAGAAGGAAAGGAAAGAAAAACAACTTTTTAATACAGATTATTATTTTGTTCTTTGCCCTGGCCGGGAGCCAGTGCACTTTATCCAGGCTCTCCTGGGTCCCTGGAGAATTTTCTTTTGCGCACATTTCTGAGAACAGATTTGGGATTGGGGTGGTGCCGACTCTGG